TGTTGTATAATAAATGTTAGATCATTTAAGTTGGTTGCTATACTTTTTTTTGTGGAAGAAAATTTGAAGTTCTAGATTATTTAATAACTAATTATATTTAATTCATAAAAGTGCATGTAAATTGTGTTTAGATTACAAATTTTATTTTATTTTTTTTAATTTAATGAAATCGTATTAAAAAGTCTTGAGAAAGATTAAATCGTGATCACATGAATAATAGATTGCTTAGATTCGTGAATGTGTGACAATAGCAAGGCTCCATTATTTGGATCAAAATTGAAGCCTATACAATACTAAAGCTAAAGTTTAATTCAAAAAGTGAAAAAAAAATAAAAAGATAATAAGAACAATAAATAAAAGTTGGATGAGATCGAATAAATAGTTGATGTAGTTTTAAGATAATAAATAATAGTACATCATTTAAGTGGGTCTGCTAGACTAAATGATATCATGTGATGTATTTTAAGGAGGAACTAGGGTACTCTAATTCCAATTATTGCTAGATGCCAGTAGTGCTTCTAATTTCCATGCCAAAGTCACTCGTAAAATATTTCTACTTAATATGCTAAATAAATTTTCTATTATTTAACCATTTTAATTTTCTATTTCTTCTCATTTTTTTTGTTTTTTAATATTTAAACTTAATTAAGAGTTTTATATCTTATTATTTTTTAACTTATGTCCCTTTTTTTTTATAATCTGAGTTGGATTTTGTGAGCTGTATAATTACGAAGATGCCAGGTAGGAGAGGGCTAAAGGGGTAAATAAATTACCAAAAGAATAAACAAAAAGGAGAGAAAAAAAAGGTGGCAGCAGCGTGGACGGCGAAGAAGTTGGCGGGAAGTAGTAGAAAGAAACACAAGAGGAGTGAAAGCGACTGCTGAAAAACATTAAAAAAAAAAAACAAAAACAACAAAAAATGGCAGCATTAAGCAACTAGCAGCTTTTGGCCCTTTGGGCCCTCAATCACATGGCTATTTCTATTTCCAGATGGTCCCCCAAAAAATGACCTTCTTGTTCTACTTTCATCTCCAGTTTTTTTTTTTTAATTTGGTAAAAAGACACGTCTTTTCATTCTCTCTGTTTTTTTTTTTTGTATTTATTTAATAATAAATTAATGACCAATATTGTTATATGGTCTTTTAAGGAGTTGGCTAAGTTTCCAAAAGAAGAAGTAAATTACACACTACATACATGTAATAGTTCACCAACTTACCTTCTCCCTTCTTATGAAGTTGTTTATAGAAAATAAATTATTAAAAAGAGAAAAATATTTGTTTGAACTAAACAAGAACTTAAGTTTTGGTTGAATGATATTTACCCTTGCTAATTAAGAGGATTAAGTTTTAATGTTCAGATTCCCCTTTTTCTTGCGTTGCTTAATTTTGACCTGTCAAGCACAAAAAAATGACTTGATTAGAACAAACTCCTGAGTCTAATCTCTTTGGCCGGAAGAAATGAAAGGAGAAAAAGAAAAGAAAGTAAAAAGGAAGAAAATGTAAGGATAACAATCTCAACCTCATAGTTTCCTTTTCCTACACCTAACCCTCTATTCATTGGATTTTGCCCCCATAGATATCAACTTCAGCCGTTAGCTTGGATGCTACAAAACCAGTTTTTCCATTCACATTTGTTAGTTTTACTGATTTGATATGGGCTTAGCATTGACATAATCTAGTTAAAACATTGTGTTTATATACCTAAGTGGGTTGTCCATAAATCATGATTAAAATTAGTCGGCAAATCATGATCCCCCTCCACTGCCATCCCTGGATTTTCATGAAAGGTGAGAAGTCATTAGCCCAATGACGAGTGTAGAATAGTCGGCAACAAAGAATGTCCACTAGAAATTTTAACATTAGGTGGAACACAAACATCAAAGGCTGGGGCTTTGGTAGGAAAATTAATTTAACACCGAAAAAGGGTAAGTTAAAAACCAGTTGAATTAATGGCCATAAGACTCACAATGCTGGCGTCCAAGAGTGACTTTTTAAGGCTTTTAGATGAGATATTGTCAAGAGGAAGAAATTATTGGGTTTTTTTTTTTCATTTATTTTAGTTTCGACTTTGGAAACAAAATGGGAAATCTCTCACCCCCGGGAGTAAAGATTCCTGTCATAGAGATAGACAGCAAAGTTCTTGGAGTTAGAGTGGAAAATGGAAATAATGATGAGGGAAACACCATTTCCATGTGCCACTCTCTCAAGTCTCAAGATCCAAGACCATAAGGATCCAATGCAAATTACCAGCCCGAAAAAAGAAACAAAAATTTAGATTTTGATTTAGCTTGGCAACATTTTGATAGAAAAAGTAGCAAATCAAATAGAATTTGTCTGTTTATGTTAAATATATTTGAACCCATAAATAAAAAAAAAAGGAAATATGTTCCATTTTGATTAGACTTGCAATGATTTATAAGATGGGTTTTACTTGAACAATTGGTCAACCCAATAAGACATGGCTTTGCATAAAGCAGGGTAAATAAGTTGTTACTATTTTTGTTTTATTAGGTTGAAACTTTTCCAAGTTAAAACGTAAGACTGAAGTCTTAAGCAACCTCTACAAGTTATACCAAATTTTACTAGTGTTAGATTGATTGGAAATTCTTGGAATTTCTTGAAAAGAAAAACAAAAAAAGGGTGTTGATTAGTTCTGATTAAAATCCGCTTAAGTTTTCCTTTCATGGTCTATTGATAGAGTTTAGAGTTGTGGGGAAGACAACTTTGTTGATATTCCCCACCTTTCTTTCCTTCTGATTCTATTGGTTCCTTTCGATTTCATTTCTGCTTTCTGCCATTTGTGGGCCTTTTCTTTCACATGCTTTCCCTTTTGATCTGATCAACCATTTCTTCTGTCTGTTCTGGTTTGATTATCCTCCACAAAAAACTAGGCTTTATCTGGTACCAATGCCATTTTTATGAAGTCTACCTCAAGCTCTTCCCAACCCAATCAGAGAAATGAATACATTCATCATCACCACCATCATCATATCTCTGAAACTATGATTTGCATCTTGGATTAACCGATGAACAAAATCCAGGTTATTCAAGCACAAGAGGGAAATGAGAATGGGCTGTAAAAAGAGAGAAATAATTCCAAGAGGACAATCATGGCTGCTGGTGGTCCTCCCAATTACTTGAAACATCTTCAAACCACCAGTCTTGTTACTATTTCTCTTCCTTTTGCTATGCAACTTGTTTTTGTTTGGACATTAACTGGATTGGCTACTAAACTTTTCAAGGCTCAAAGCTTTGATCTTTCCCTTTTTTGTATTCTTTCCAGCTCGATCTTTGAATATTTGACAGGCAGAAACATGTGCCAGCACCCGCACTGCAAGTAAATCCCATCATGGTATATGCCTCGGAACACTTGACCCTGTATTTTTCGGGTATATTTAATCTTCCTAAGGGCTAAAGTAATCATGGGGTTCAATTTCGTCGTGTCACTGTTCAAAGATACCAATTTGCTTGCTTAGATGTGGTATCCAAAAAGAAAGTTGCACCAGCTCGTTCTATCATTGTAGAACTAACTGGAAAAGGAAAAACAAGAGAAAAGGTGCATTGAGGCATCTACAGAGAGAAACACTTGAAAGAAGAAACTGAAAGTAGGAAAGGGAAAAAGCTAGTTCCACCGGCTCAACTCAAATCTTTATTTCTTTCTCATTTCCTTTATTAAAGTTTGAAATAAGGATCAGTCTCAATGGAGATTACATTACCAAATTGTCATCGTTAAAATTGGTGTCGATACCATAAGGAGCCTTGTTTTATGAACTGGAGGATGAAAAAAGAGATAAGAATTGGAAAAAGGACTCATTTGACATTATTATTGAAATTTTGTCTACAATCATCAAATTTAATCGTAAATACAATATCAAACAAAACAAAAACTAATAGATCAAAAAACCAAGTCTTAGAAAAGAGAAAGATTACCAATATTGATTTTGATTACATGAAAACTTTACCCTTACCTCAGGGGTTGAACATGTAAGTATTTAATTTAAGTTATGGTTTCATAAAGTCACATAGTTTAGATCAACTTTATACAAGATTTTAATGCAAAATTAAAGTCAATAAAAATACAGTGGAGGGTTGGGGAACATGTGGTCGGTCTTTTGAGTTTGATTAAAGATTATCAGTTAAAATCCCAACAATCTAATCAAAATGTGGTAGGGACTTAAACATTTGCAACGTTGTTGGGAAGGTTAGCAATGGAGGGCATGAAGCCATGACCCCTTTCTTACTTTAAGCAAAAGGATTTTCAGTGAGAATCAAATCTTCCAGTGTCTCAGCTAATCCGTTGGGAAAAAAAGAAAACAAAAGCACTTAAAAATGTACTGGGACATGCCCATCACATCATTACAGTGAAGAAAGATTATCCTTAAAAATGGTGGGTCTTAGGCACCTTGACTGTATTATTATTTCTCACAAGAATCATTGATTTAAAAGGTTTTAAGCCAATTAGGCCCCTTAATTCAACCTTATCTTTGGATTAGTGGGTCTCAGCTGCAATATCGACTTGCTTAAAGCAATAATAAAGGACAGATCCTTTTTTTTTTTCTATTATTTCGGATAGGAACCTAGCAAATTTGAAGTTGGACGCAAGCTCAAAAACAGTGTTGGGCTGCCCTAGTCTACGACTTTTCATTTAAAAAAGGCTTTAATGCCCTAAAGTGGGCCGGAGCTCAGCCGAGCCCAATAAAATGAGGCATGTGACTTGTGAGGAGGCGGGGAACGTGGGTCACGTGGGGAGCATAGTGGCGTGGATTTCACGCTAGATACAAAACCGCAAATTCATTGACTTTGTAAGGGCAAATGTTTAATATTTTATTATAAACCGATAGACGTGAAAAGGACAACGTACCCTTGGGATTGGGACCCATCTCTTTTGTTCCGCCTCCCTCTTGATCAAATCTCGACCGTACATTCCCCTTTGTCAACTCTGCGAAACGAAACAACGCTTCTGCTTCTCTAGGGCATAACCGGAATAAAAGAATATATAATAATTCTTTTTCTTTTTCTTTTTTTTTTAAATTTTTAGACGCTGAAGAAAAAACCATAAAGGCAATTCCAATTCCATTGCACTTTCCAATTTTCCACTCCTTAAGTCTTTCTTTGATCTTTATTTATAAATTTTTTATCTTTTAAGAGTGAGAAAGACGGAACAATTGCAACGGAGAGGGCTTTAGAGAGAGAAAGAGAGAGATAGAGATGTCGGGAGGCATAGCGCGTGGACGACTCGCTGAGGAACGGAAGGCATGGAGGAAGAACCATCCTCATGTCCGTACAGTTTGTTATTATTTTTTTGGTGATTTGGTTTAAAATTTTAATGTTATTACTATTACATGTGTGATTATTCTTTTTGTTGGTGTAATTTTAGGGTTTTGTTGCGAAGCCAGAGACGTTGCCTGATGGAACGGTGAATTTGATGGTGTGGCATTGCACCATCCCTGGTAAAGCAGGGGTAAGTCAAAGATTCTCTCTAGTTCCTGCGAAATCTTTTTCACCGCTTTGTTATTTGTTGTTGTTTCTGTTGATTCTGCCTTGTAAGGACTATGGATTCTGTTTATTGAGTGGGTTTATCTGTATTATTTTTAGTTTTACTTATTTGGCACGTGTATTTTGCTATGTTATTCTGCGGTTAAGATTTTGGTTTGGGTTATTTCATTTTGGTGAAAACTTGGCAGTGATTGAGAAAATTCTTAGAGATAGAGTTGAATTGATGTAATTTGATCCAAAGTTATGTGCTTTAATTGGGTAAAACACGGGCTGCGAAGATATTGATGATTCGCTTAATTGAGTGATGGGTTTATTTTGCATGTAGGAGTTTTGTTTTCTATGATGGAGCCTTTGGTTCCTATGTGTAGCTTGCCTTTGGAATGCCGGAAATTAGGTAAAATAAGCTTTTTAAATATTGGGAGGACGCACATCTTTGTCTATAGTGCAATTTGTTCTTGTTTTTCTGGCACAACTTATTGAATCCAGGATGCTGCGTTTCCCTTCTATTTTGTTGGAGAATATTTCAGAAAATGATTATTGATCTGAAAGATGGTGTGTGTGCCAATGGTGAAAAGTGAAAACTCATAGTCTTTTTGTTCGTGAAAAGAGAAAGAATAATACATTTTATGCTTTAATGAAATCAAGGTTTTGTTGTATCTAAACAGCCATTTATATCAAGAATAATAGATTGCGTTCATTTTCAGTTTCTTTGCATCTTCCCCATCGTCAAAAGCAGTTATGAGCAACTCTGCAATTCTTACAATTCTGCTTCCTTTCTGTTTCAGGATTTCTATTGGTTGCTGAAGCTCTATCTCTCTCTATATATCTTAATTACATTAGTGTACAAGAACACAGATCCGTTTTAACATGAATAACTGTCATGATAGTCCATTTTGTCTAATGTATTGGGTTGTTCTTATTTGGAAGTTAACCGATATTGTTTAAAGCCTTTGTCCTTTGTTAATTTATTCATTAATTAACCTGGGGTGGGCTGTTGGTTAAAATTAGGTCTCATTTCATCATTACTTATTCCATGTTAATGTTGATTTGTTAGCATTATGGACAGGGATTATGGTAATAATGGTTTATTTTCTTGAAACTTTTCATACCCTATCAATTACTAAAAAATATTTTTATTGTCTTTTAACTTTGTGAAATGAATCACTATCTAAAGAATGTATAGTTCTAGATACAACTAATAGAAAGAATTCGGAATTGAGTAGCTCCCTGCCTGCTTCTTAAGGCAATTTTCAATTGTCATTATAGCATGGCACATTAAACAGCCTCTTTTAGAATTCCAAGTCTTGAGGTTATTTGGCTATTTATTCCTATATGTTGCAGATTGAGAGCCAACAAGTTTGGGCTGCAAGTTTTAGGTTTGCTTTGCAGCATTCTGGTGGTTGTTATGTTACTTGAAGAGTGACAGCTCTGTGGTATTGATTTTGATCTCGTAAAAATGTTGTTCCTCTGACATTGATTTTCTGTTCTTGCATTCACTTCTTCACCATAGTAGATCAATGTTCTAGAATGGCAGATCTTGCAGCTTCTATGTATTCCCTTGATCTTACTTTTGCATGATTCATTTTATCTATGGGCATTAATGTTTCCTAGTGGCTTCTAGTTCTGTAAATAGATTGACAACTTGAAGGTGTGAGTCAGGATGCTAGCAATTTTTTCTAAAGCATATATCAATGACATCAAAATGATTCTTAATTTTTTTAGGAAACTGATTAAAAAGACTCATGAGTATTGTCTCAATATAGTGCAAAGAGAAAGAATGTTGAATGAAAGTGTGCATGCTTGAATCCATTGTAGCTGTGTTTCTTTTAAAGTTGGATAGGCCTAACTCCTTGCATCATCTATGTTACAGACTGATTGGGAGGGTGGTTATTTCCCACTTACACTCCACTTCAGTGAAGATTATCCTAGCAAGCCTCCGAAGTGTAAATTTCCACAAGGTTTTTTTCACCCAAATGTTTACCCATCTGGTACTGTTTGCCTCTCAATCCTAAATGAGGATAGTGTAAGTATATTCCTCTTCTCTTGATGAATGGTTTACACCTTTGGTTTGATGTGGTCCCATCTATTCATCTACCGTTTACCCATTCCTGTATTGTGTACATAGGGTTGGAGACCAGCCATAACCGTGAAGCAGATTCTTGTGGGTATCCAGGATTTGCTGGATGCTCCAAATCCTGCTGATCCTGCACAAACTGAAGGCTACCACCTTTTCATACAGGTATGTTTCTTAAGTTTTTCTTCTTTGTAGAGACTGGTTAATTGACGGACTCTAATAAATTCTGTATTAAATACAAACTGAATTATTAACCGTTCCTGATATGAGGCTAAATATATTTAGTTCATTTGATTTTGATCTGTTTTAGATGGTTGGTAAAGGCAGTAAAGTTTTCAGGCATGGAACTGGGAATCCCCTCAATGAAGTGCTGGATTAAAGTAATCGTAATCAGTTAATAACATAAAATCTCTTTTCCTTGTGCAGGATGCTAATGAATATAAGAGAAGGGTTCGCCAGCAAGCCAAGCAGTACCCACCTCTTGTCTAGTGTTATTAAAATACTAGATTGTCCTTGACATTTCTGGTAAAAATGCCGGCTGGCTGCGTCCTGTATAATGCTAGACTTGCTTCTCCTAGAGAAAGGCTTTGGTATTTGGTAATTGTCAGTTACCTTACTGTGTAAACTGTATGAAACCAGGCTTTTCACTCATCAGATTTGGATAATGGTTGTTTATATACTATTTAGACTAATAACTTGCAAGTGGAAAACTGTGAAAGCCGCCTTCCATACAGAAAACTGTGTGTTGTTTTAGGTGTGCACTATGCACCAAAGACCTATGACAATAATTTACAACTGGCTTTACGGTTTGGATTAGAATTGCGTATTGTGTCAAATTTGCAAAAAAAAAAAAAAAGGAAAGGGAAAAGGGAAAAAAAAGGGAGGCCAATGGAAAGATCTGGAATGAAGAAAGGCATTGGAATAATTGATTTATAAAGAGTTTGCAAGAAGTTGCAACTCTAGTATTGAGACTAGACGGTCTGCAAGAGGGGAATGTCTCTCGCAAATAGTGTTGGTAATTAAAGCTTCAATAAACAATAATTTTGGTACTGAACTAAGTCAATCGTTCCATAGAAATGGCATGGAAATGGATACTACAGCAAATGTGGATTGGATTTTATTGAAGAAGCATAAATCATATAATATATTGATGAAGTTTAAAAAGAAAGAACAGAATTCGAGATTTCAAGTTAAGTTTTTAAGATTAAATTTTGTGCAAAGAATGAAGTTTGTTCATGACCCTTTGTATATAGTTTTAGGTCCTATTAAATTTAGCTAAAGACTACTGATTTTATATATTTATGAAAGATAACTTTATACAGAAAGATAGGATGGCAAAGAACAGACGACGATGATGTAACGATTAATGTACCACTTAGATTAGATTATATTAGATTTAGACTAGGACAAGAGTTTCATAAAATCCAGAGGTTTGCAGTGACCAAAAAGCTCCAAAACTATCCTCTCGCTATGGACGACATGGCTGCCTACTACCCTCCACCCTCAGGCCTTCTCCCTCCTCACTACCCCTACTACCAAAACCCTCCTCCGCCTCCTCCTCTCCTGCACTAGCGCCGCCTCCAGCTCCTCCACCTGGTGCTACTGCACCCCTACCTCACCCCCACTCCTACATCCCCCAACAACAACCACCACCCCTTTTCCCTCCTATTCCGTTCCTTACGTCTCTGCCTGTTCTTCCCATGACTCGGTTCGGACCCTCTTCATCGCCGGGCTACCCGAAGACATTAAGCCCCGGGAGATTTATAATCTTTTCCGAGAATTTCCGGGTTATGAGTCATCTCATCTCCGAAACCCCAACTCCGCCCAAAATTCTCAGGTACTCTTCTCTTAAATTTTAAATGTTAACACTTTTTTTTATTTTTTAGTGTTTTTTTTAATTGTTGACATTGTCTGGTTGGTTGTAACAGCCGTTCGCCTTCGCTGTTTTCTCCGACCAACAGTCTGCAATCGCCGCGATGCAGGCGCTAAATGTAAGAACTTTGATATGATGTTTGGGAATTGTATTCAAAAGCAACCACCTTATTTAAGCTGAGTTGTCATAGTAATTTGTTTTCGACTTATTAAATTGATTAAGGACTATGAAATTTGCATTGGAATTTGTTTTTCCAAAACAGATTAGGCCTGTATAATATCAGTTGAAAGCCCTTTTGTTTCGGTGCCTTGTTTTACAGGGAATGGTGTTTGATCTCGAGAAAGGTTCAACTTTGTTCATTGATTTTGCAAAATCTAATTCCCGATCGAAGCGCCCAAGAACAGGTTAATGCTTGTTCTGTTTCTAAATTTTAGTTTTCAACAATTCAGTCTTCTTTATGTTTCAAGTAATTTGAACCTGAATAATGTCTAATTGGCTGGTTATGGCAAATAGATGATGAGTGGACTGGCTCTGATAAGAAATCTAGGGGATCATTTTCGAGGCCTACAACTGATTCTGGTAAGACAGTCACCTAGGATTCTACTTGGACCTCCTTGTTTGCCCATCATTTTTCGAGCTTCATGTCCATTGCTTCTTGATATGCTTAAGCTACTAGATCCTTGTTGTCTGTTGCTCAAATGATGTTACACTTGGAGTGCAAATTAGTTACTCACATGGAGGACACATTCTTCTAAAGCTCACATTGCACATCTTTTGCACGCTTGGACACTAGCAGGTTTTGGCAGCGTTCACATGCCTGGAATGGGTAATTCTGCTCACAACATGATTGGTTATCCACCTGCACAAAGGTCATCTGCACTACTTGAGCACATTTTTATTACTTGGAAGTGATTGCTTCTAGATGGACTAGCATGTAGTTCTAGTTTATTTCAAGTGTTTATGTTTAAATGAAAGGTCAAGGGCTTCATAGCAATAGTTACGACATGCCCTGTTTCCCAAAGTTGAAATAAACTATTTTCCTTAGAGACTTTTGCTTCTGTGATTTTCTGGAATCTCATGTAATGTAGATATTCTGTTTTACAATTGTGCAGTTCTGGAAATGCTGATACCAATGCTGAGTCAACAGCTATGAAATCGGTACAAATGCTTTTTCTTCTTCTTCACTTTTATTAAATTTGTTTTTAATTATAATTCAGTGAGTTGCCATGTATCATTTCTCTTTTGTTTTGGATATTATAAGAAACATGTTCTACATCTTTTAATTTTGTTTGACATTAAGCTTCCTACTACCAAGGAAATATAGATCTTTTCCATTTAGGTTGTTGACACTATTTATAGAATCGCCAAAATACGTTGTCATCACCCCATTTTCTTCTTGTTGGCAGATCATCAGCCTCGTATGGCTTCTCAAAGAAGCCATGTGGTAAAAGGATAAACCCAAACTAATATAGGATAGCTGCAATCAAATTTTTTATTTTGTTAATGCCAATATTAAGTCTAGAAGAATTGTTTAGAAATGTTGCCCTCTTTCATTCATGAATTGAAATTTGTTTAGTCATCTTAGTATTGTTTTACCACTAACTCATGTTTTTTGAAACAATGACTAGATAGCCTTCAAATTATACTGTTAGAGTGGGTTTTCATATAAATTTGCATAATAACCTTCAGCCTCGCATGTTTGCAGAGTGCTAGCCCATGTCCGACACTTTTTGTGGCTAATCTAGGGGCAAGTTCTACAGAGGAAGAACTAATTCAACTATTTTCAAGGTAAAAAGAGATTGTTTTGCCATGTAAAATTTGCTCAGTGAGTGATTTTTTATACTTCATTTCTTCTGTCAGATGCCCTGGGTTTCTGAAGTTGAAGATGCAGAGCACGTATGGAGCTCCAGTTGCATTTGTTGATTTCCAGGTACATAATTTTTTTTCTTGTTTCATGCTGTTTCCTGTACTGTTTCTTTCTTTTCCCCTTTCATCTCTCTAGCTTTGTGTCTAATATCCTTAATAAAGAACTAGAGGTTTTCATTTTGAGAAAGGAGCAGCAACACTTTCTTTCTAGCTTAATGTGCAAGGTACACAAATGTTGGTCAATAGTGACCAAATCAGTGACTAGTTATACAGGTGTGTTACAAAAACTGCAGAAGGTGGGAAAAGAGAAGGAAAAAGCTGCAAATGCATTCAGTTATGCATGTAGATTCTCTCTTTGAGTTAAATTAGGGAGTGAGCATAGAAATTCAAGTTTATTCGTTTAATGTCATGTGCCTAGGTTGGTCCATTTTTTTTTTCTTAGCCCATCAACTGGGTTAATAATGAAGGTGATTCTCTATTGTACCTTTCGGGTTTTACTCATTCCACCTTTGTGCTAAGATTCAAATCTAGAACCTCAAACTTCCTTATGCAAAGGTGATAAGCTTTGGCAGGTACATCAGTTATATTAATGACAGTAAGAAATGCTATAGCTTAATGAAGAGACATCCTTGAGGATGTGGTCTTACGTGGAGCATAATATTGGAATATAATCCATTTAGCAAGTGGAAAAAGGCTATGTTTTTTTTGCTGTTGTAAAGAAGTAAAACTGCTTTCAATCTAAATTCTTGATAATTGATGTGATTGAAGCCAGAATTATATTCCAGTTTTTGACTCGCTTTGGTCTATAATTCTACCATATCTTTGTTTCTTTACAGCCTTTGAATGCATAAAAATACTTATTTTGGGGATTGACATAATTTGCTTGCACCAAATTATCTTCACTTCTCTTTGAATTGCAAGTGGGAGATGTGGGTGTTTAAAATTTTTTCGTTTCTTTATTCGTTCAATTGTAGAAAAGCAAAGCATAGCAGCTAGGTCTCCGGTCTTCCGATGCTTGCAACCTTAATATGTAATGGTGTGTGCAGGATACTGCCTGTTCAACTGGTGCAATGAACTCTCTGCAAGGGACAATTCTATACTCATCACCAGCTGGGGACGGCATGCGATTGGAGTATCCTTTGATTCCACCTTTATACTTTTCGTTGCATTTATTCTATTGTCTTTTGAGATTTCACTTAATGAGCACGATCCAGATATGCAAAATCTCGGATGGGAATGCGACGGAAAAGAAAGTGATCACACGGAAGCATAGACGTATTTGCAATGGAGGCAGCTGCCGACCCTGAAATCTTGACAACCTTTTAGAAGTATAATGTAACTATTACAAGTTCAACAACAGTTTTAGTTTTGCCACTTCTGACGTTCAATTAGTTTTACACTGTTGCTTACTTCTCTAATTTAAAATCCTTTTCTCTTTTTTTCTTTGTGAAACTGCCTACTCAAATTTCATTAAAATAAAAACAAGTGAAGATGAAGATTTTATATTTGATGCGCCTTTTTTATCTTAAACTTTAGATTTTACATATCATCTCCTTTCTTAGCGAAAAACTTAAGAGATACGTTGTCGACGTATGTGTAACACTTGCTGCGTAATACTTACATACTAATCCATGGAGTATCATATATATTTTCAACAATTTTTTTACTTTTAAATTTATTTATTAATGAATTAATGATGTTTTATTCGTTAATAACGTATAAAATGTATGCACTAATAATTACGTTTTCATTCTTTGGTGATAAGATAGCCCTAGGCTGGCTTTCATGGAGACATGCAAAGTTGCAGATTTCTTCCATTTAGCAGCCATTATTTCCTCAGATATGTCCATTGTTCATAATTCCATCAAGGATAAATAATCCAAATTTTCAGAACCCATTGTTAAATTTCGTAGATGAATGAATGCATCTGTTTTTTTTTTCGTTGTATACTTTTCCTCTGTCCACTTTTCTTCTAGTGCAGAATAAAGTCGTTGGCCAATGTCCGTAATATTTTCCTTTTAAAGACAAAGTGTAAGAAAATGTGAAAAAGGTAGTGATAAGAGATGAACTATGAACT